GACCAGTCCACAATGGTCTTGACCTTAGCGGGATCCACTCAAAGGCCACGCTTCCCAATGAAGCACCCTAAAAGTGAATCTTTTCTAAGCCAAAGATGCACTTGTCTGCATTGGCGGACAGTTTGTTCCTACGCATGCACTCGAGCACCGCTCTTAAATGACGATGCGGTTCTCTTCATCCATCCCCCCGTGCTCCGCATGACTGTGGACAAAAATGTTGTCAAAGTATGTCTGTGCATACGCCCTGTGCGACCTGAACAAGTCATAATATGATTAAATGTTGCTGCTTCCTCCCCCGTCATACCGTTGATGAGGGTGTATAACTGTGCGACATCGTCTACAATAGACACACTCTGAATTAGGGTCGACACCCGGCGTCTTGCGGCAAGCATACGGCGTCGCCGTCGTCTGTACAGAGGTTCTATGTCTCGGTAAGACCAGGGTCAACACGCACTTCGCGTCGTCCAGTGTCACCCTTACTGTCCGCTTTTTGGGAGCTCCGATGTTATTTACAACATCCGACAAAGAGCTGCTAATTCCGCAGTCTTCGTCTAGTGGATAACGTGCCACTCCACGCGCAACTGAAGGGCTGTGCCCAAGTTGCCTCGGACTCTGTCCGACCACGACATCAATGGCATGCAGCGACAGCTTCGCAACGAGAGCAGTGCTCAGTGGTTTAGGTGCCACTTCACGTGGATCACGAAGGCCTTGCCCTCGATGCCTCGTTCCTTGGCCGACCATGTCACGCATGACATGCAGCGACTGCTCCGAAACTTAAGCAACGCTCAGTGGGTTACGTGCCACTCCACGATCAGCCCGCAAGCCAGGCTCGGGACTCCTGCTCGATACATTGTTGGTGTCTACCAACTCGGACATTCCAATGCCCAGCACGTTGACCGTCTTGGTCCAGTGCACTCGCCAATAGCGTTTTTGTCTCCTAGCAGAGATGGGTTCATGACTCGCCAAAGCTCCACCAGGAGACGTGCGCGTAGCGCCCAAAGTCTTTAATCTTCAATAAATCCATGGCTCATGGCTTTTCAACCATGTCATTCCTAGGACGAGGTCATACCTTGCATCCAAGTCTATGACTAGACAGCGTTCCACGCTATCAAAATCAGGAAATTGACTCCGAGGTCCACAGGGACCTTCGAGACGGTGAGACGCGTCCCGTCGCTAGGCGAACAGTGACGGTGTCACCCAACCGCGCTTTCTGCACATCAACATACAGCTATCTTCCTCCATCGTATTGCGTCGTGCATAATTGCCCGACCCGTGGAATCGATGAGGATCTTCCATGGCTTTTCGAAGCCTTTACGGTCGCCTCTACGACCAGCAAGCCCGGCTTGCATACACATTCCGTGTTCAATAGCACGGAGGTCTTCGGGGCTCCACCCTGTTGACCTATGCCTCCCTGAGGCTCAACTGAACTCAGATCTTCCCCAGTTGGTCGCCCCGCGCTTACTAAGTGTTGTCGTTTCCCCGCGATGAACCAGACTGGTATGAATTGGGGCGTTGGTTCAAAGAACCTTGACGCGCCGAGCGCAGGGGGCAACCGTTCCGAAGATGACGGGTGTCTTCACAGACAAAACACCGTCATGTGTTTGCGTGCTGCCCAGCAGCTCGGAGCTCTCCTCCCTCGACCTCAGCATAGCTGACATCCATGGGAACAGCCCCGCTCGACGAGCTGTAGGAGTGTGAACTCCAACTAAGTCGTGCCGACTTGAAATTATATTCGACATTCAATGCCTCAATCTTCGCCTCTTCAAACAAAGACGGATGCACACGGGAGACTTCCATTCTGGCCACGCCAGTGCGTAGGCCTTCTATAAAGACGGTCACTGTGACCGCCTTCGGAAGGGGATCTGCTGCCATTTCGGCAATGAGAGTGCGCATCTCTTGAACAAAGTCCATCAGTTTTTTGTTGCCCTGTCGGGCGGCAAGGAAACGCGATCGCACGCAATATGCCTGATTAAGCGGCGAGAACCCTCATGAGAGCTGTAATTTCAGCTCCACCCAGGAGGGAAACGCAGCTTCGACCGAAATGCCGCACGTCAGTGCCCATTTTCGCGCTCAGCCACCGAACTTTGAGATGGCTAGCGCCGCGCGCTGTTGCTCCGTCTGGAGCATGGCGGGTTCGATGGCCATCTCGACCTCTATTACCCAGAGCAGGAGATTCTATCCATCCCTTAATGCTTACCATGGGCAACTGAGGGCGGGAGAAACCATCCCACACTGACGGTGGCGTCATAGACGCAAATGAAGCAGACATCTTCTGCTACAGGTGCTCTAGCAGCGCGTTTTCTTAATTTGAAAACGCCTCTAGACGCGCACTGATTGCCTCGGGGCCTTGCGCAGCAAGGTGTTCAACGCCCTCAGGGCCCAGCAAGGACATTAGCTTTTTAAGCCCGACCTGCATGCCCAGGGGCAAAGAGGAAATTGTTCCATCCTCACAGAGGATCAGTCTAAACGACTAAGGTGTAGATTGACTACAAGTGCAGCGGGGCTGCCGTAGCTTTCCGCTTAGAGGAAGCCTAAGTAAGGTCATCGACCTTTCGTTCTATACTTAAAACAAGTACAAGTTTAGCGGATCGCAATCCGCTTACTCCAAGAGAAATTACAACCTTAACCCAAGGCTAATTAACTCTTCCGTATAAATTCAACAATGACTTTTTTATTTTTATCTGCGGCAAAGCCGCCTAATTATAAATGCATAGATTTTCCGAAATATGTATAGTAAAATCTAAATACAAGTATAACTACTAGCTATCCAGCCCCGTACCGTATTCTTGTTTGGATGTGGTCACACCATGTCTATATGGTGTGACACACACTTGTTGCCAGGGTATGTGTAACTCCGTTACACAGTCAAGCGCAAGCACAGATCATCAAACTTTACGATGTGCTTCATCAGGTCTTACCCCGTGTCTAGCTAAAATTCATGCAGCTCTTTCCTGAAACGCACACGGTTATGAAGTGACTACTTCACAAAGAATGCACACAACATTTCTCATGCATCATACGCGGAACCCGCGTCAAGAATCATTGACTAGTAGGTTGGACTTAAAACTTGGGCCAAAATAGCCAGTGCCTTCATGTCGGCGGCCTTCCACTCCTCCGTCTCACGGCGCGCTGCGTCTTCTGGCTCCATGGTGTCCTTGTAGCCCCTTTCTCATCAACGCCATCCGGGCGTTGAGCTCCCACAGGTAGTAGTTGTCGGCGGTGAGTATCTCTTTAGGCTTGGAAGCATTTGGGCTCATAACCTTTTAACGCTGTCTTGTTACTCGCAGCGCAAAATGGAGAGTAAAATTAGCTACCAGAAGCCTAACCAGCTTCTAACCACTAAGCCTGTTCTGCAAACTTGCAAACTTGATCTTCGGGAAGTTCCATTTTAACTTGCAAGTTGTCATTGGGCACCGCACACAGTCTGTGACGTTACGTCACAACACCTCAACAATGCCGAAGTATCGGTAATTATGGCGATGGTTAAAATTTGTGAAGGATGAGTCCGTAAGATACGTAATATACGTAGTCTGCTAGTCGCACGTTGAGAATTTAGTGAGAGATAGTAGAATGTATCTATTTCATCAGTCTAAATAATACTAATTCCAGTGAATATCTATGCTTAAAACAGCAAAGCTAAATAGACCCCTAGTTTTGTTTATGGCTCTCGGCTTAGCGCAGGCTCTAGGAGTCGAAACTTCCACTGAAAGACAACCTCGTTGCATCTGCTATTGTTCAGCGATATGTATTGAGGATTAAATAATCCTATTACATTATTCCATATCCAACGGAAAGACTGCTAGCCACACCAATGTTCCATCATCTTAATCAGGACTGAATTGTTCAGTACTTAAGATTGCTCACAATTACACAAAATTGTAATGTGACTGGCGTACAATTGTACAATACAGAATTTTGCACAAATGTACTGAATTGATAGCTGTATTTTTTCCACTAAAAAAGAGAGTCAAGGATCCCAACCTTTGGTAAAGATAAAAGACTGATGTTCTCTTCCACTTGATGTGGACTCTCCATTGTTCCGCGAGTGATCAAAGGAGAGAATCTCGACCCTTCGTATCGCTCAATTGAGAGTGTGAGGTAACACGTAGGGTGGACATTCCAAGCCCACCATCGCTACTAACTTCGCCATGTCCGTAGTGATCCCGAATTTTCTACTCGTCCTCTCGGTTACCAGCATATCGAGCTACAAAGCTTTTTTTCAACGAAAATGAGCCATAACTATATGCAGTCTAATCAACTGTATTAAGAATTGAGTGTGGCATCTAGTAGCTACATGCTTAGTATGTCTTTTGGAAGTATATGCATAAAAATGACTCAGTTAACGCAGTTGATTGTCTCTTTTGTGAAAATTTATAAAATAGCTCATACCACTTTTGAGCTGTCTCATTGACGATTAGATGCCAGAAAAGCTTTGATGTGCATCCAAACAGATAAGACATCAACAAAGATTCAGAAGAAATTTATTGATCTGACATAAGGACGTGCCCTATCTCACATTACGATGCAATGCAATTTATCATGTCATTCGAAGGAGCTACGATACATTTATTGTACATGACATAAACAGTTGTCCGGGTAACGGTCTTTCAAAGTTATTAACTTGAATAAATGCTATTGTTCCTGACAGCTACTAATGACGAAATAGGCGGTAGCATTGGTCGTGACTCGCGACGAAGCGGTGGCAATTGATAGATAGGAGACAAACTTGTACTAGAGACTGAATTTGTAGCTCCACGATTGTAGTACCGCATACTTAAATAGGCCTCTGGACGAGACTGCATGTAAACATGTGGAGAGCACGTTTGATGAAATTCTGGTGTGTAGCTCTGCTCAATATAGAAGGCAGCTGGAGGGCACATGGACGACATCTGTGAAGATATCGCAACGGACGGTACAGTGTACTGTGGTGACTCCATTGGTAGTGGACCCCTTGGTGACAATGCATGGTGGTTTGTTGGGGCAGGTTTCACATTGTGACCACTTTCAATTTGATGCAAGGGCAATGCATTGGTCAAACCATTAGTCATCTCGTCTTCATGAGCTAGAAGTGGATTATTGATCGTCGGATCGTCCAACAAGGCAGCAAGCTTTTTCTTTTGTTTGAGTAATTGTTCGGCGTATGATTCGCGTCGTATCCCATCAAAATACCCAATGGCATGTTCCATTGAAGCAATACTCTTGCGGAGGCCAGTAATTTGACGGTGTGGCCAGCGGGCAATACCGTGTCGTCTGCATATCTTTTTCAATAATGTCACGCAGATTCCGAAACTTGCCGCCACCTTGGCCAATGGTTCTTCAAAGTGTGGACGCAACATGTCAAGTGTAATACTATTTGAAGCCGTCATATTTGGCCGAGACAAACCCGCTTTAGATGACGGAGTTATGGGTAGTGCCGTTCTAATTGATGATGATGACATTTGTGATGAGACAGGTCTCGTAAATTTGCGACGCTTTACGGGTGTGACGGTGGTAAGTGAGAATTGGCGACTGTGTCGTAAGGGAGGTAGCGTGAGTGCCCGTGGGGTTACTGGGGCGGATTCGGCTGAAAAGTTTGTAGTGACACTGCTTGATAGTGTAGTTTCTTCCATCGTCACTTGTTGTCGAGTGAGTAAAACGAGAGATGAAGAAGATAAGGAGTTGATAGCTGCGTACTGTTCACGGGTGCGGGATGACTGGTGACGCCTGATTTGAAAGCGCCGGCTTGTTGAGTCTGCGTCTGTCCAGATGCAAGAGCCAGGAGAGGACAAGGGGATCGACATTTGCCGGTTTATGCTGCAACAAGTGTCTGTTCGACGGCAGGAGTGTAAAGCTAAGCTTGTGTTGCCAAACGTACAGTACAGCGTTTTGCGATGAGAAACACTACAAAGAGCGTTTGCGCAGGATAGGTTTAGGAACTTATGGCTTGCTTCCAAGCGCTTCGAGCCCACACTTCCGAAAAGATTGGGTAGCCTCACATTGTAATGAAAACTGGCTTGGATTCGAGCGAGTGAGCGACCAGCTTTTCAACAAAAAGGCGGAGCTAAGAGTAAATTCGGTTCTGTGGAGCTTCCCGTTGCCATTTCTATTCCCGACGAAGATTGTAAAACAGCAGACGGCATTACGTATGCGAGTCACGTGAGACCATGACGCAGTCTCTCCCGCGTCAGGTATATGCATTAAAATCTCGCATGCATCCACATAGAAAGTAGGTATTCAGTGTGCAGCCCTTTCACTAGATTAAAGAAGCAGCTATTATCATGACGTACATATTCATATACTCCATGCTGCAATTGCACTGATAGGTAAACGGGTACGCAGTGTAGCGCAACAGGTTATGCACCCATAAGTCATGACCTGGCGGCCGTCATGTCGCGCTGAGCGCCCGCACTGCAGTGCTCTGTTTAGGAGCTACAACCCAACCCAATTTTTGCCCGATTGGACAACGCCTGGTGGATTAACGGAGGATCTGTCGCTGCAGACAGGCTGCTTGCATGAGCTTGATGGGCGAGGGAGCAAATGGCAGCTTGGCGAAGAAAGAAACGGCAACCCAGGCCCCATATTGCAGCCATGACGGTCGTGACACGTTTATATACACGAGGCTGGATTTCGTTTCCAGCTGCTCAGGCGGTTCATTAACCATTGGAACAAAGAAGTCTGTCACAGAGTAACGTCGAGCCAGAGGCATCCATCAATAGGAGCTGCTGGCTGCAGTGTAGCCTGATGCGACCTTGTGCTATAAACAGAGCAAAGAGATGCATTCGGTGCGAAGATCACGCCATTTCTAATCTGCACCTATTAACATGGATTTTTGAAATTAATATATTTGTTATAATCAAAATTTAGATATGAATACGTATCAAACCCCTTTTCAAATGACGCATGTAATGCTCATAATATAGCTCTTATGTGTATGTCTCGATCAGACCGCTCTGTCAAAACCTTATAAATACCAGCAGATTCGAAATGATGTGCATTATCACTTCCTAGGCCCCCCAGCCCTCCTCAGCTCTCCCCATACCACGCTCTCAGGGTAACTTGCGATTATTCTGAAGGAGATTACGAAAGTGAACATTACGCAGTAAGCCAGGTACTTTGTTGAGGTTAATTTTTAACCTTCTCCCTATGGGCTACAAGCTGCTTCCGTGCCAACTGTGTCAATGTAAAGTCTAATGTGGATACTTGCTCTTAGACCCTTGAGTATTGTAAGCCCTTTTCGACGACACGCTAGTTTATTTAACTACTCTGTACTTATTTGAGTTGAGCGAAATTTTAAATGCGTGAAGCACTCATGTTTAGTGGAAGAGAAAGGATGATATTTGGAAAGTCTTGTGTATGCACGTCACTTGAACGTCAAACATGTCCATGTGTTTAATTGACTGCGTTTATTTCGATGTGCAAAGTGCAAAGGAACTGCGCACCGTATACCTTTTCTATATGGGGCAGAGTATATGAGACAACCGATTCATCAGATTGAGTGTTTGTGTGAGCAATCCTCCCACCAAGTCATCTACGGAACTCGCACTTTTTTCCTTTACTGCAAATGCTGAGTGACTCACAGTACGAGGAGCAAGTATAGCAAAGCTCACCATTGTAATAATCATCCTACTGTTTGATACATGGGTCCAGCACAACATTTTAAAGGCGGTGTCTGTCGTGCGAACTGCATGTCAAAGGCGGCATTCTGTACAGACACGTCTTTTTGTGCGTATATGACTTCAAAGAAATCATGGCCATGGATAGCAAACTGGATGTGGTTGAAAGTAAGTTTTTTAATAGGAAACGTAATTTGAGTTGCAGTTGCAGGGTTGATCGTTAGATGTTGATCAACTTCCAGAATGTGACAACGAAACGTCATTTTATTATGATTGTACTCATAGCACTATTTATGTACTCATTTATGTTGCCTCGGACTTAACGAAAAGTTTTGAAGTATCAAAGTGAAGTATCATGTTATACAAATGCGAGTTGGTTATTCTTTTGTTTAAAATGTTTATAACAGCTCGTTTGAAATCGTTTAAGAAAGATAGAGCCGAACACACAACTCTGATGGTGTTTAAATATGTTTTGTTGTAAAGGATCTCTTGAGATTCCGCTGGGTCTGACATAGTTGTGAACTATAAACGTACTTGTGGTGGACTCGTTATAGTTGAAATAAATCGATTCATTTTGCGCGTCACTCCGCCGCGGCTATCACTAGCACTCCAAAGCCCGACATCAACGGAATTGGGTAGCCTGGCACTAAGTGAAAAGTACCATAGTTTTTAAGTGCTGACCATGGGACGAGATCAACCGAAAAACCAGAACTTTGTAACTTTTGGATATTCATACGACTTGGAGGAAATATAGGGTCTGCGGCGCAAGTGCGGTCACTGCGACGAAGCGGTCTCTTTCAAGGCTCATCGCAGCTCGTCGCATCTGCGGTTATGCTTGACCGTGCCGAGAAGCGTTGGCCTGATTCCTCCTGTTATCCTCGGCGTCGAACTAAAGGAGCCCTCTGGTGAAGATCTGGACTTCGTCGTCGAGTAAGCGCCCTCGCATTTCTTCGAGCTCAAGCGCAGCTTCACGCTGGAACGATGCCATGTCGTTCGTGAATCAGAATCGGGTCGAGAGACCCCTTACTCACGCAGGCCGTTCTTTTCTCCTTTTCATCGGCGAGATGTGGGCAGCGTTTTTAAAGTTATGTAGCCTATCGTCTCATTTACCAACGCTCGACAAATCGGTGGGTCGATGCGCTCGAGGGGATCCAGATCGCAGCGCTTCGGCAGATTGCGCGTTCAAAGGTCGTCTACATAGCGTCGGACAGGGCATCGACAAAGACCGGCAAGCAACTATTAAGGGGTTTGTGGTCAGCAAGCGTATTTCGTGCAGCACGTCGAAATGGGTCTTCGGCAGGATTGTAATGGGCTACACTTAGCCATTAGATGAAGGTGCATCTATGAATCTTATGTATTCATTGTTGGAATTAAAGAAAGAAGATCAAAGTTTGGTGCTCCCAAAAGCATACGTGACACCTGTTATGAAGTCACAAACATTTTGTTAATCAGAATGCTGGTTCCTGATTGGGTAATGTATTAATGACGAAATCGACGTGTTACTGTCTTTTGAAGCGGGTGGTGTAAGCTAATCACTTCTGTTGTATACTTTTTATAAAAGTTGAAGCATAAGCTTTTCGAAGTTCAAGTTTCGTACACCCATGATTTTGTATATGTTCAAGCTGAGGTTCAGCCTCAGTACATCCGTGATTAATTAGGTCAGGTATCCAAACTTTATTTGAAAAACATCTTGGAGCCGTGGGGTAGCCTGGAGTCATTAACTCGTTTATATTCGGTTGCAAACTTACCTTGAAGGTTATCTTCTCTCTTATCCCCAAGTTAGGACTGTCCTTCTCCCTTCACATCGGAAATCACTTTCTCGTTGCACAAGCATGTGTTAGATTTGGGATATTGTTGTGAACTGCGCTCTCTAATAAGGGGACTGCAAACAGCTCATTAGTCAAGCCAATCATGGTTAAGGAGAAAATGAACGCAGTCGTCTGCCTGCCTTTGATTCCTGTAAAGAACGCGCCCGGGAACGTTAAAATTGACAACCGTTCTCCGACGTAAAAACTTTGCACAGATGTGCCCGACGCCATATGTAGTCTATCCGCGGGGGCGGTCCGTTCTTGCTTAAGGATGCGGTCCTCGTCATTTCAACAATATGATTATGCAATGGATCAGATTCCCCGGCACGAAATTGTTACTGAGCAAGTTATTTTCATGATCGAGTTTGTCAACGGCGTGCACTTGCTGACCGTGATGTTCGACAAGGTCTACATCCGAAAAGCCGACAAACTGTACGCCCTCACCTTGTTCACCCCATCTTGCTGACCTTACTCGACCTACCCGTTGTAATGTGCAATAACTTGCAAGAGTGCTTTGGTATCGAGAACGCACGCCATCGACTTCGACAACATTTGCAGAGACGGCTCGCTATTTGCGACGCTGCGAAGTAAATCTTGACGCGGATACTTCGACGGCATTTGCAGATACAGCTCGCTGTTTTCGACGCTGCAAAGAGATTCCCGACGCGGATACTTAAACGACATTCGTTACTTTCCAAATATTACTCAGGTCATTTACAGCAACTTTGGGTTGCATGAAAGACAGCAAAAGCACATTCTCATCAGTCTACGCCTGATTTTTAGTGATTGCACACCAAGCCTTGACATTGTCATCTGAAACGATCGAGATACTGAAACGTGGCCTGGACAACCAAACACTTGTCACTTACTATCGCGTAGATAGAATCTACATGTTAGTTCGTGATCTGGCGTTCGTGACGGATACTTTCGTAATCGACATGTGAACTTAGCTCGCTCTCAATCACGAGACCGTTTATCTTGCGTTTGTCAACGAACGTTGGCTGAAGATTATCACAAGGTGTTGATATGTGTGCTTAAAACAACAGCAACTTGCTGATGCCATGCAGGAGAAATCGCGTGCTTCATCGTGGCGCGACATGAACTCGATTCGCTGCTCTATAAGTTGCGCAAGAAAAGCCGCTGCTCTTGTTGGGCCAGAATGATTTGCCAGACTATGAACACCTGCACCCGGTGATCTGGCTGGGGCCATCCGCGGGGAATGCAGTCACAGGACCAGCAAGTGTGTCCAGAGCAAACCGTGCGTTCGGATCAAATGCATTGCTGTTGAACGACAGGTCACGGTTGCGTACAATTCGGTATGCTCAAGCGTACATTGAACAAATAGAGCGCCGCGGCTTTCATCGATCATTTTGTGTCGCTGGGGTGGCACCACGTCGACGTCTTAGACAAGACGTAAAGTTTATAGACGAATTGATCAGCGCGCCTGCGTCTGCCAATCTATTAAACCCGTTCTTTGTCGACGCAATCGTCCGCGACAGCAATATATCGAGCAGGACAATCAAGCACAGCATAAAGCACGCCAAACGTCCTAAAAAGCTCAGATCAATCTTTTTACCACGTATGCAATCTATAAACTGTATTTTGTTATGCCACAAATACATTTTCTTCCAGTTTGACTCTGAGTTATGTGCAACGCCATTGAGGTGCTCATCACACAGAGGATGCGTTTGTAGGGCTGAAATTTGAGCCTATTTAATAACTGGATACGCGATTACTCACAGATCCTACGACTTTCGGACTGGAATACATGTGAGTTTAAGTCTGATTGCAGTTGTACTGAAAGTTTTTCTATGTTTGAGAAAAAATTATATGAACTGTCTGACGTTTGGATCGCAGTGTAAGTGTTATTTGGACGAAGTTTTTTCGTCCCTATCAAGAACAAGATTCTGGTACTTCTGAGCTTTGCACAATTGTGTAATGTGTGCGTACTATAATACCGTACATTTTGTGTAACAGCCTCCCCGGACCAAACTGCTTTTCACAGTATTTTTTTATCCATCTTAGACACTGATTGCGTCGGGGACAACCACTATGCTTTGAGTCTCGCTTCATTTCTTGCTCCTACAATGACTGCTATCTAGAGCGTCATCGCTTCAAAAGTTCTCTCCGTTCACAAGATCACATAACTCAGTGAGTCTTCGAGATCACGGTCCCAGCAGCCGACAACACAAAATCCAAACCTGATGAGGATGCTGAGGTGTTTGTAAGAGATAACGCTCCTTGCCTTTGCTCAATATCTCATCCCTATACGGCCAAGAAAATCTAACGACGAGGCGACCTAGCCTGAAGCTATACGGTAGATCTGCTCTTGGCTTTACGAAGAGAGTAGTGACATCGACGCTCTCTTCCATGTAAAGCAAAAAGAAAATTTGATGATAGAAGATGTCATCCGCTTGATCAGTGCCACCTAGCAAGTCTGTAGTGTTGAGGCAAGTGGCGAATTCTGCATGCCTATAATAGGCTAATGCAGCCTCTATTCTGGCACAAAGGTCGATCCCCAATGAAGTTTGTGCTTGGTTATATATAAAAAATGATTTTTAACAACTTATGAGAGACAGTGATTTGTCGTTGACGTGCAATGGTAGTGAGATCTCCTAGCTGACGACACCAATTTGATCAATTATGGACGATTATATGTCCTACACAAAGCTATCACATCCTTTTTCCGAGCGAAAAGCACTTCTTCTTTATGGAAGGAAAGGCGAGTTCGGTCATGCCGAATCTCCACCGCTGTGGAAGCGCGTCGCACCTAGGTTTGTCGCCTTCCAGTCGACCCATGGCGCGTATCGTTCCAGCCACAGCTTTTTGAGAATGAGATTGCATCCAAATTCAGGTCCAGAATAACAATTATTAACACTGCTAACGTTCTCAATGTTTGCTTGAACACATAGCATTTCTTATACAATTTTACTTGTACTTCCGTGGCGAACGCACTATCATCGCATCGGTATTTGCATCATCAATCGCCGCGTACTGTCTACAATTTTTGAATATCATAGTGTTACAGAAACGCATAACGGCCCTGTACCTATCAGGACATCGCACAACTAACAATTCTAATAAGCCCCGTTTCTTTAAATAAAAGCGTAATTCTGGTCAGTAGTCGGCCCCAATTATCACAACTACCACGCGGTACAATAAAATTCGATCGTTCAGCAGCAGACAAACATGCGCTTACTTTGACTCACCGCTCTTTCGCACCGGAGGGCTTTGCACGCGAGGGCAATCCTTCGTACACATCATCAGCGGCAGCAACACCAGCAGGAAGGCTTGAAAAGCTTGCTCTAATTGCCAAATACGACTCTCGCTCGCATTCAGGCGGGTTTTAATGACACCATGCGTCGCAGGCAACCTGTCGAGTATCGGTCATGCGTTGTCGCGTGCAAGACACGCATTCGAACACTTCTAACATCTCGGTTCACCACGGAAAGGACACCTTCGCCAATCAAAATCCTAATAGAAAGAAGACGAGGGGGCTTCTCTACGGACACCCCCTTCTTCTTGATCGAGACGGAAACCGATACTACCATGTTGAGAGCGTGGTGGCGGAGCGGAACATCCGCGGTCGTAAAACGCTTTTTGCGAAATTTCTGGGTTATCCAGCGAGCAAGAATACATGGGGACCTCGTAGTCTTCCTTACGACTGTCGCGATATCGTTTTCGCGTGTGACCCGGGTGCCAAGTTGGACTCCGCTTAGGGGATCCGTCCCATCCTCGTCTCTTTCCCCCTCCTTGTCGTGCATTCGACTAATGACCGCACGTACTTCGCGAGCATCTACGATACCGGAGTGAACCCGATCCTGTGCTGTTAAATAAGCATATCAAAAAAGTATCTTCATCAAGTCTGCTGCGGTATCCGCGTTTTGCAAACGGTGGATATCCGCAGATTTGGTTGCACGAACCCATGACCAGAATTGAGTGCCGTTTATCTGTACCGAATCCAGATGATGCTGCTGCAGCAATGGTACGTACATGAGACTTGAGGGTCTCCTTCAGCACGCGTGCTCGGTCTGATGGCGCAGAAATACGCGCTTCGAGTCATCACTCAGATTTCCACTTTACTGATGAGTTCGTCGAGCTCGAAGGGTATCAATCATCACGTCTGTCGTGTCATTCGTGACGACAGACGTGATGATGTCACGGTGGTGCAAATGCGCTGGATGAGTGAGTCCTTCGATGGGCTCTTCATATCAATCGTCATCCGCACTAGCTCGTAGTTTGATTCCAAGTTTCGGCTAAACGTGCAGAAGCGCTGTTTGACGCGAAATTGGAGCACCATCCAAGTTTGATGATGGCGAAGGCGCCTTTGCATCCCAGATCGAGGTACGTTTTTGCTTGCGCTTGTCGTCGGCGCAAGTCGTCTTTGACGCGTTTCATTTCGTGAGGGGTCACGAATGACAGTACCAGAGCAAAAGACAAGTCAGAAAAAGTCTAAAGAAAGTCTAAAGAAAGTCTAAAGAAAGTCTAAATAAAGTCTTAAAAGGGCTTAAAGAAAAATTAAATAAAGTAAATGGAGAATATGGGTACAATCAGGGTGTCATTGGGTCAGTCCCATCAGACATTTTTGTGAATCACATAATTTTATGTTTGGTATTTACTATATATCGTGCGTAGTTTTAAAGTTCCAATTCTGTTTATCAGAATTAGAGATACTAACCAGTTTAAAGAAGGTTTATTGCATTTTGACCGTAATATAGAAGGTTTAAGTCCTATTGACCATCATAAATGTTATTTCACCTCTTACCCCGCGTTCGAGTTATTCGATGACTTGCTGGAAGCAAGTATCACGTGGTGAAGCGTGTTATCCAATGCAAGTCTTCGTCAGTAAGTGCGTGCATACGGACGGGTCATTCTCGTTACAAAAAGCATCCATATCATAAGAGAATGGTACCCAAGTTTGTAAGGAATTATGGAAGCTGCACCAGTGTGGCATAGATGGAACGGAAGGTTTTTGCCATGAGTCTCAGATACGTGCATTTTTGTTCGTCGACTGTCAAGTGAGATAGACGTCCACCTTGTGCTCTACGGTGATAATGTACTCACTGAATGCGACGATCACGGTGAAGCTGACAGCTGCTGGTTCGTGCCACTTATCCACTAAGATCTGCACAGTACTGGGATATTTTTGCTCGTTCACATTTCAGAAAGATTGGCTGTAATTTTCTTTGAAATTTGGAGTAGATGTAGATAATTATCCACATCCAAGTTTCGGTATTAAAAAATGATGGCACGCCAAATGGGAGGATCATCCATGCCCGCATGTCAGAAAAGATAAAGTTTCTTGTAGGAGATATCGAAATTCTGAAGTCTAAGCAGTATAAATTCTTAATTTATGTACTCTTAAGATACAAAGGCCAACCAGACACCTAGTCACAATACACACTCTTGATTCCGTTTTAATCTTCATTTGGGGATTTGTAATAATACACTGAGCAATGCGAGTTAAATCGTAACGCACATCTTGCAATAATTTCGTATAATACCTAAAAGATGCAGTTCACCGACAGATACATCCGCATAACGCTCAACATCAAATTAATTCAGCTCTGTCAAACTAAGCTCCTAGCCTTTATTCGGAGAGATGTACGATTGTTCATACTTTTATCAAGCAAAGCGCTAGGTCATCAGAGGATTTGGGTCTGGAATTTATACTAGAAAACAGA